ATATATATATATATATATATATATATATATATATATATATATATATATATATATATTAAAAACTTATTTGCAATATTAAACAAAATTTACCTGCATAATTATCACTGCTTCGTTATTAGTATTCTAGCAGAGAGTTTAACCTTTGGGAGTTTACAGGGAAATATCAACAAGTGTGCTTTATGTAATCTCATTTAATGGCCTATTAATTAGGCAAATGACTTTCTAACTCTTAAATTAGCCTAGTGATACCCAAGGGAAATTTACAGACTGACCCTCTCAAAGGTCTTCAGGTCCATAAGTCACACCTTAAGAAAAGCACAAAACAATAATGCACTAAATAGGAGACTACCAATTCTGATGCAATAATACATTATGTTTAACTGCACAGTCAACATCAAATTTTAATTATGCACAACAGGTAACACCGATAAAAGTAAAAGCATAAGGCTTCAGGCCCATCAGAGTTCAAGTTTATACTTAGAAAGTGCCAGAATGAGAAAAATGAAAATTTCACAAAAAATGCATAAATTTAATAAAAATGATAATCTAATAGAGCTGGTTTGCTAATATGAACTGTATGTCAATCCTAAGAATCATTCTTGTAAGACTAGTTGTTAAAATAGAAAGTAACAGTTTTCTTTCCATAATGTTAATGGTGGCAGTGCACAAAGTAGTTTTTTTTGTCAATTTTGATGCAACATTACATAATGATTAACTGTATAAATACCACCAATTTTTAAATATCTACTATTAAAAACATGGACATAAAGAAAATTTGATTACCACTGGGCTTCATGCCCAAGGGAGCTCTAAGTTCCACAATGAAATTCCCAGTATGTGAAAGATGAAAATTTTCACAAAAAAAAAACAAAAACTATAACTTCCAGAAAATTAACTAATGAGACAGATTTTCCAACTGAGGCTGTATTTCAGTCCTATGTTTCTTTCCTTTAAGTGTGAAAAGAGCAAGTGACATGGTTTTCCTTTCACGGTCACTACGGAGGCAGTGCCCAAAATAGGGTTTTGTTCAATTTTGATGCAATATTACACAATGCGCAACAGCATAATAACCATCAGTTTTTTAATGATAAAATAAAACTATCTTGGATATTCAGAAAATGTGTCAAGCCCATAGAGTTCAGAGTCACACTTTGAAAATCCCAAAATCTAAACAAGAGAAAACTGTATTGAAAACAGCTTATTTCCATTTTCAACACCTTTTTTACATAAAACAGAACAATCGATTTACTGTCATATTTATATGATCAATTAAAAAATATGTCGTCAAAGGAAATATATCAATAGAACAAATTTAAATGTCCAACTTGCTCCATTCTGAGATTCTTAACTTAGTGAATGATTGAATATGACGATCTGCAATGATATGAGTTCCTTTCCATTTTGACACTTTATTACACAATGCACAATAAAAGGGGTACCGTCATTTTTATATAATCAACTAACAATATTGTTAAGAAGCAGAAAATGTCAAAACAACACTTTTTCATATCTAATTAGTTCCATAATAAGACTGTTAACATGCCTAAGAATTAAATCTGAAGAAAAACCACTTATATACAAAAGGGCTAATAACTTCATCAAAACTTAACTGATCAAGCTTATTTTCAAACTTGATCTGTATACTAGTCAGACTGATCACTCCTGTGAGTTTCAAGACAAAAGGCTGATTGGTTTTCCTTAAAATGCGTTATCAGTGTTGCATATATGCTGAATAACGGAAAAAAACAGCATAGCTTTAAATTTGTAAAAATAGTCCAATCAAGCCAATTTTCGAACTTGACCTGCGTTTTATTAATATTCATCAGTTCTGTAAGTTTCACGCCAAAAGGTAAAATGGTTTTCCACTTATCATGTTATCGGTGCTGCATATATATGCTGAAAAAAGTGAAAAAACAGCATAAATTCCCTAAAAATGGCCCGATCATGCTGATTTTCGAACTTGACCTACGTATTATGAATATTCAGTAGTTCATGTGAGTTTCAAGCCAAAAGGTAAAACAGTTTTCCACTAATCGTGTTATCGGTGCTGCATATATGCTGAAAAAAGTGAAAAAAACAGCATAACTTCCCTAAAAATGACCGGATCATGCTGATTTTCGAACTTGACCTGCGTATTATGAATATTCATCAATTCTGTAAGTTTCAAACCAAAAGGTAAAACGGTTTTCCACTTATCATGTTATCAGTAAAAGTGCACGGCGACGGCGACGACTGCGACGGCGACGACAGACGCAGGTGATGGCTATATGTACAGACACATCTGTGTCTGTACATAAAAACGAGGTGATGGTGATTTAAACCGTTATCGATTTTTTCACACGAAGTGAATATTTTTGAACATGATATTTGTGAATCACTCGGAATTAACACAGTATGGTAAGAAAAACAGCTGGAATACAGTGATCATACAATCCATTTAAAATAAAACTTATACTGTATCAGATCTCAGTTTAGTTTAATTTGTTTTTAATTTTACATTTGGCACCTAACTGGGACTTTTACACCCATCAAATTCATTTTAGACAATTAAAATCATTTGTAGCTTCTGCTTTTGGTAAAAGCGTATATATTGTAACAACAAACGTATCATAAAAGCTTGCTTTAAACCACATACCTCAATTTGACTAGAACATCCCATGTGAGTGTCTACAGAGAAACAGTCGTGATAAAACCATGTCCAACACTGCTCTCTCCACGGCTGAGACTCGTGGCCCGGCAGACATCTTTGTTTGTGGTCACACCACCCACATCCGGGCTGTTCAGTACATGACCTACACGTGCTGTACAGTAGCTTACTGAGCAGGCGCGTCCCTATGAACAAATAAGGGCCGTGCAATTGAAAAATGTATTGTCACTGATAAGATATTATGTGATCAGATAAAGGCATTTTAAAATGAGTGCACAGTTATTTAGCCCTTTGTGTGCATCATGGTTTGGTCTTAAAATCAGGACCGAACATCTGATATTGTGCACAACAATTTTGCTTGATTCATTTATTCAGGATTTTCTTCTTCTAAATTCAATATACCTAACCCCATCGAGACTACCTGGTATCCAGTTAAGGGTTTACCTGCCACCCAGGCTGACACCTGCACTGGTTCGGTCCCACACATGTCCCGTACTGTCCACACTTGTTCCTGTCTCTACAGTGGTACACGGAGCAGTCTTTCCCTTCCCAGCCTCGGTTACAGTGACATCGTTTATCTTTACCACAACGTCCATTGTAGGTACAGCCATTGGGACACGCGTTAACTATGGTACATATAGAAGGACAATGCTGTATGACGAAGGGGATAGGGAATGTGGAGAAAATACAATGAAAAATACAATGGAAATTAAAAGGGACAATCAAATAAGGAAGCGTCCTTCAAACGCGAGCGGTCAGCTTGAGCATCGATTGTCCCTTATGTACATTTGAAAATGATGTATTTTATTAGTACGTTAGGCCACACTTTTTTATTTTTATGGATGACATCCTCTGGGGACCCCAAAGTCGGTGCGAGCGGGCGA